CCAATTCACCAGAGCACTGGGCTTCAGTCTCCTATGCTAATTAGGAACTTACTGGCATCAAACTGAAGCAGTGCAGCCCTGCATGAGGCCCTCCAAGGATTCAAGTGGCTGGAAGGCATAAGTTGCATTTCATTGATAGTACAATTGTGTCTTAAATCTCTCTGGTCACCAGAGATGTAGCAGGAGTGCTGTCAGCTTGAGAGCAAGCGAGGTAAATGCAGATGAGGCAGTGCCCGTGGATTGCCTGGCGTCGGTACAGTACAAAGGGGCCTGAGCTGGGTGAGCCTTGTACCTGCCACTGCAATCTAAACAACCCAGAGCCACCCAACACAGGCTCCTGCGATGGGCACAGGCACCAGGTGGGGCTGCCACCATCCCTACCCGGAATTTAAAGAAGAAATGTCATCTCAGAGGTCAATCAGGCATTTGGGAGTGACTCCACACATGTACTAGCAGCAAAGTAACCTGCACTCACCCTTCCTCTTCTCCGTTCTGAAGGAAGGGTTTCTTATGGGAAAACAAAGCCCTGTAGCCAAATCTCAGCCAAAAGCTGCTCATTGCCACAGTCTGTGAGTTGAAGCAAAGGAGGATCCACCTGAAAGCAGGACCACTGTTACAGCAAGTGACAGCTCCAGAGAGGATTGCTGGGTCTGTAAGCTGAAACAGTGACACAGTGGAAGTCCTACTGTGATATAATTATCCTGGTGTAAACATGGCCTGTTTCATCTTGCTTATTTTGCTTTCCAAACTGGAACAAGCTGCACTGGGGTCTGCATTTCTTTTAATGATTGAACTGTGTCCCCACAAAGATTTTTGCTGGTGTAACAGAAATGGTATCAAAGCAACAGACCTTTGTGGTGAAGACCAGTCCTTAGTTTCTAAGTAAGCACTTTTACCTTTCTGTTGGCAGTACATAAGCTGCAGGAATTCAGAAAAGATAAAAGGCACAAAAAGTCTGGTCTCTTACACTCCTATTTCCTGAACAGACATCAGAAAGGGCAGTCAGGGAAATCATGCAATCATTAAAGTTGGAAAAGACCTCTAAAATGCCTTCAATCTTCTCCATTAAATACCCAGGAAACCCCAATACCCAGGATCTGGGGTCAGAAACAAATAAATCTCCCAAAAGACAGAGACAGGATGGATGCTCCTGTTTGTTCCAGCATCTTCCCAAAGACACGTGATGCAACCAACCTTCTGCTGGGTCCTGCATTTTAGTACATAAGGTCTTCTCCCATGGTTTTAGGGATGCTCCACAGAAAGAGAAGTTTCTGATCCTATTCCATGTCACATTTTGACATGCACTTTGGATTCAGTGGTTATAGACAGTTGGTGCCAGCTCCTAAGCAGAGCTGTTTCTCCAGGTACGTATCTGGAAAAGGCGATCAAGGATGCCCAGAGTGTTTGCATGGTCACAGCCTCGGTGGGCTTCCAGATTTCAGGGAACGCATTTTCTTAGGGGAAAAAGAGCAAGTTTCACCCCCTGCTTGAGTCTGGTGTCTCATCTCAGGTGAGCAAAACCAGACCCAGTAAAGCTTTGCCCCTCGGAGGGGGTGGGCAGGAAGCAGAGAGGAGGGGCTGGCACACAGAGGACGTCTGCTGCTGGTCAACTACTCCTCCTCTGCCATTCCCTTTCATACCTTCTTGGCCAACGTGTTTTTCATGGATTAAGTGTTCTAAGAATTGATCCAGGATGTTTTGAATGTCTCGCTGGCTTACGCATCCTCTGGCACATTGGCAACTTTGCCTGGAGTCCAGCTCAGGTTCAGAGACAGAGAACGTGGAAAGACTCAGGACACCCCAAAGTGACTTCTTTATTTAATAGTGCTGTGATAACCTATCACAGGCATCAACAGTGTGGATTGGGGTCTGGGTTTGGACCCTTCCCTGTCTGTGACACATCTTTCTTTCCTCTTGCACACCTGGATGGCCTCTGCTCAATACCTGTGGATCTCAAAGGTTTTGTAAGTGCATTCACAGTACCCACAATGAAGAGCCCTGGGAGGTGCAGCAGTATTTGAGTGGATATCTGAGGTACAGACAGATCTCCCAAACCAGAATAATGCCCAGCCACAGTGCAATCCTCTCTCTAAAGGACATGTGTTAGAGTGACCACATCCACAAATGCGCAGCAACAGGAACAGGGGCTCTCCTCGGGAAAGCAGGAAGAAGTTTTCACTAGCAAGGCTCAGAAAACCTGAAAAACTTTAACAATTGCTATTACTGCTGTTTTCTAAAGACATTTTAATTCATGTAACAAACCACCTTATTTAAAAGTCAGGCACCTAAAGCTATAGGGGCTGAGTCTGGTGTGATTCTGGCTAAGGAAGCTGATGAGCAGCAGCAAGGCACCTGAGCTGGATTGGCTCCCAGCTGCATGAGCAAACACGAGTTTTAAAAACCTCAAATGCAATGACATATTTCCAGATGAACTTTTCTCTGTGCCTCTGAGAAGTCTATTGGCTATTGATCCTGAGCCAGGCAGCTGCTTGTTACTGGAATTAACTCGTCCTCCCTTTAGTTCTGTGGGTTAGCAAGCAAGAGAATAACTCATGTGAATAACTCGGCCCAAACTAAAACCCTGGGAAATTGTTTTGGGTAGGGCCTAGGTTTTGTTTAAACAAATAAACAAAAAGCACAAAAAGGAAAAACCCACTCAGAGCCAACCCCAAAGGGAATGTGTCATGCAAGCCAGCGTTTGCGTTCGTTCTCTGTAGGTTTTTATCTAATTTAGATAAATATCTAAATCAAATTTCATTTGCAAAACAAAAAGAGGCACTTAATCTCAAAAATATCAAATTGGGAAACTGGGAAACTTTTTCATTTGGGGCTTTTCTTCTACATGAGGCTATTTCCTGAAATCATGATGAATTTGCAAATAGTTTCAGCTGTCCCAAAATTACACTTTTCAGCAAACAGCTACTTGTCTGATGAAAATCACTCAGCTGTTACCAAGGTCTTGGCTTGCTCTGGCTGTTACATTTCCAATGGGATTTTTCCACAACAGTTAAGCAGCGGCCTGGGAGTTTAAATATGGATAATTCTCTCCATCCTGTTGCAACTTCTGCAGCTTCAGCTTTTCCCTGGCTCTGCATGCTGCAGGCTGGGAATGTGCATAGGGATGGCAGTAACTGCTGAAGGAGGAAACAAAGACAAGATGCAGCATTTGGGATAAAGTCTAAAGGAGATATAAAGTGTATTTGGACATGGAGGGATTGATGGAGAGCCCATGGTGGAACTGGGAGGGTTGGAGGATCTCTATGGGAAGAACAGCATCCTGGCAGCTCCTGTCTGTGAGATATCAAATATAAATGTTATCTAGCAAGGAGAGCTGGGGGGGGGGGAAAAGCCTTTAAAATCCAGTTTTACACACATTGTGTTTTGAGTAAATATTATTTTAGCTATCTAAAGTATTCAAACTAATCACAGCAGTTTCCTTTAATGCCTGCCATTCCAGACACAAGGTTTATTTACTGTAATGTAATACATCTTGAGGGAATGTCGTATGCAGATATTAGCAATTAACTCATTAATCTAAAAATCACAATTCTTGCAATTAATAGAGCACTGCACAGTCACTCTAATTACAAACTCTGCACAAAAGGCCAGTCTCACAGGGAACATGTAGCCTCCTAATTAGCCAAGATTTCAAAGGCAGACAGAAAATTGAGATGTTGAGGGTCAGGGAGGGAAAAATGTGAATACAGTGCACTGTGAGCATATCTGACAGCAGGGCTGACAAGCAATGCATAGAGAGTTTACCTTGGTGCACTCTGGGGGCAGCACTCACCTACCCAGGGCAGGTGTACACTGTCTGTCCACAGTGCTGCCACTCATTTTGGGAGAGGCACCAGTGAGACTCACAAGGTCCTCCAGGCAGGAAGTTCCCAAACTTTTGCAAGGCACTCACGCAGAGAAGCTTAAGGAAGGCACTGCTGTGAGACATAACCAGCCTCTGGTGATAGAGCTTTATCTGCTGGGAGACCCACAGCCACCTCTGGGGCTCAGGGATGGGGGGCAGCTCCTCGGCAGCATTTTCCCCCCAAGTCCTGCAAGATGCTGATTCCCCTGGCGCTGGTGCAGCGAAGCACTTCTGTGTGTGTTTATCTTTAAGGACAGGAGTAATCCCACTGATTTCATCAGGGCTACTCACATGCTTAAGGACTTGGTGGATTTAGAAAAAGAGTGCTCAGCATGAAGCAGGACCAAGGCCTCTCCAGCTGGGCATGGCTTGGAGTCTTTGAGCATCTCTGTTTTTCCAGCTATAAATGGGAGCAACAACACCAGTTTGCCCTCTGTGTCCCTGTGGTGGCAGAGCCCTGCACAGAGCCAACACATGGAGTCACCCACCTGCCTCTGGGCAGGCTCTGCTCTTCCCTGAGCCGTGAGAGCTGGTGTTCTTGCTGCTTGAGCATTGCAAATCCCAGCAGGAGCATTGGCCCCTGGGCACTGCAGGCATGCCTGCCAGGGCTCCAGAAAACATCCTGAGGGATGCTGTGGGAAGCGTTTCCTCACCCAGGCCTCCACCCAGATGCTATTGTAATCTTTATCTTCAAGCAAGAGACAGGGAGTCTGCCAGCACCCGGCTGGTGTTGGTAGAAACCGTTGTCATGAGCTGCCTTACAGTGGAAAAAGGCTGTGTGAGACAATGCCTGTTTGACTCACAGAGGAGAAACACGATGGCAGCACTGATTTCTCTTCCCTTGGATTGTGTCCCTGGGCTACAGCCTCCTGAGGAGTTTAGAAGCTTTTGGTTTTGGCACTGAAGAGACTACTTTTTTTCATCATAGGGTTTTTACTGATCATGTTCCAGAGACCTGTGTGGGCAGCAGTTTTTTTAGGCAGCACCAGATTTTTTAGGGGGCACATCCCATTAGCCTTGCTTGCCGAAAGAACCCTTTCAGCTCAGAACAAACCATCCCTGGGGCAGCAACGTCTTTTCCAGGAGCTCTGGAGGAAATCACGAAGGTGGAAACATCTCTGTGGGTGGTGGAGGGGACAGACTGTAGAAGCAAAGCCACTGAGTGTATAAATGGTGATAAAGAGAGAGATTATCTCAGCAAGAGCCAGAGGGACAGCAATTGAAGAAGGTCTAATGGCTCCTGAGTTTCACAGGGTGTCTGTTCCCATGTGGAGACAAGTCTTCTCAGTGCTGGACTTCTTTGTGCAGACCTTCCACTAAGCCTGGTGATGCTAACTCTTCTTGGAAGACAAATACTGGGAGCACCTCCATGAGAACAGAGCTGGTCACAGCACACTGACCTCACAACTTGGGCTCAGCACAGCTGAGATTGTGGATTAAGAGTCACTGACTGCAACAAAATTCCTGAAAGGCCTAGATTCCAAAAAATCTGAGATCTTTTAGAGACTGAGAATACACTTAAAATGTGTTTGGGAGAGAACAGAGACAGGAGAAAGAGCTACAAGAAATCATCCTAAGGAAAACCACTGTTATCATACCACTGTATGATAGAACTCCATAGAGGATCTTCCAAGATCTTGGAGACTGAAGTTGGTCCAACATCCTTAAGAGGGAAGCATGCTTGGAAGGGAAGATGCTCATGTGAGTGAGCAGTTCAGGGAACATGAGCCTCGTTTTGCAGCCTCCTGCAGCCTGGGCAGGGGAGAAGAACCTTGTCACAGGGACTGCTCAGTGGCTGCTGCCCTTCCAGCCCAGTGATGGGCTGTTTATCTCCCATTCTGTGGGGTGGGGGATAACTTTAAACCTCATATTGCTGAGTCAATATTGCTCAAAGACTTGGCACATGATATTAAGAGTCAACAAGAAAAAGACTGAGAATAAAAGTTGATAAATTACAAGTCAGTTGGGATCCCTGAACCCTATAGTGCCCAACCTGTGCTCACAGATATTTTTTTTTTACATATATTGGGCCATGCCAGAAGCTGCTGGTGCTGCTGTGGGACAGGGACCAGACACCACAGTCAGCCCTGGAGCGCACTTGTCGAGTGGTTGGAAAAGTGGTTAGTGTGAGAGGAAATGTTCATTCCTCTGGAAAGGTGGAGAAAATGCTTAAGAAAAAAAAAGTTTTGCTAAAATTACAGTCTCTGGATTATTGTTTGCTGGGAACAGAGTATGGGATTCTGATGTATTTTTTAATAACAAAGATCGCCAGACGTGGGAATAACCAAGAGTTATTACTATATCCCTGCAAGGATGACCTGGCTGGGAGAGGAGCCCGGGGTGAAGCAGCACAGATTTCCAGGGCTCTTATCTTGTCTCTGCCCCTTCCCTCCCTGTCTTAACCCAATTGTGCCCGACCTGCCCCTGCTGCAGCTGGGACACTCCAACCTGACCTATGGACAGGGCTGTTGGAAAACATTGATTCATTAATGGTTGTAAAACATTTCTGGGTCTTTGCAGGAAAGGCACAATGGATTAATAAAGTACCGTGAAGGAGTTGCAATGATGTGATGTTTTTGTACAGATAAACTAAAAAGCCAAGTCTTCTTTTTTAAAATGTTCTTTCTTTTGCATATGAATTTCATATGCAACCTAAGGACAGTTTTTCAAGGGGCAGAAAATCAATGTAAATCTTAAACCCTCTCCATTGCTGTCACTTAATTAATTTCATGTTTTACCAAGATTATCTCCCCAAATGAATTACGAGAATAATATGTTTTCAATACTGTTCATTCAGTAATTAATCATTGCAGGGAAGAAACTTCATTTCAAGTGCTAGTAAAGTATATGTAAATTATTAATCACAGTGTTGAACTAACAACAGATCACTGGATGCCATCCAGGACAGATGAGATGCAACCACTTGCATGCACTTCTTAAAAGCAAGAATTTTATCCAGACATTTCAAAACTCCTAGGAAAGCCAGTAAGTTACAGATATGCTGAGGGAAGTCATGCTCAGATTTAAGAATGCATTTTTCTACTCATTGTAGAAAAGAAATGAAGAAAAATAAAACATAAAATATTTCTTAAAGTTCAAAGGCAGCGGTCTGTCTTGGAAGACAAAAAAGATGATAAAAAAGGAATTGGTAAGTCCAAGCTGGCAGTTATTAGAATAGCAAAAACATAGTGCTTATGTACATAATGGTTTAACTTAGATTAAAAACCATAACTTATCTGAAAATACTCTTTTTAGTACTTCGGAGGTTAAATATGGTTCATAGCAGCTCTCTCAATTAAATTGTTTCTCCCTTGCTTCAATAAAGTATATTAAAAATCATTTCCTGAAAAGCAACAAAAGATCATTATTTTGTTTGCAAGCTGACACTGTGTTATTCCTTTAAAGAGAAAGCACGTGCAGGACTGGGATCACACCAGAGCCCAGGCACAGCCAGGGAACAGCCCTGCCCTCTTCCGGGAAGTGTTTCACAGATTCATGGAATTGTTTAGGTTGGAAAAGCCCTCCAAGACCATTGAGTCCCCCCGTTCCCCGAGCACTGCCAAGCCCACCACTAACCCATAACCCCAAGTGCCGCATCCACACGGCTTTTAAATCCTTCCAGGGACAAGGACTGTCCTCCTGTGTGAGGGTTTGACAACCCATTCCTTGAAGCAATTTACCCTAATATCCACACTAAACATCCCTTGGTGCAACTTGAAGCCATTTCCCCTTGTCCTATTCCTTGTTCCTTGGGAGCAGAGCCCAACCCCCACCTGACTCCACCCTCCTGTCAGGAAGCTGGAAAGAGTGAGAAGGTCCCCCCTGAGCAGGACCTGAAGTGTGGTTCCATTTGCACTAAAAAGGGCTAATTTCTGCTCCAAATCACCATGATATTGTGATGCCACAGCAGAGGAAGCCCCATCAGCTGCATCCCTTGGCTCCCTGCAGCCCACCCAAGGCTGCCCTCATCCCACATCCCAGCACATGGGGAGCTGCTCCAAGGAGCTCAGTTGCACACAGTCCAGAGAGGAGTTTGTTCCAGCTCTCTCTGCATTGTGCCAGTGGATGTTTTTGTAGCATTGCTTTGCTTACACAGTAGAATTTATTTGTTCATGATCAATGGGGAAGTCTGAGGTTTACAGTCACCTCTTCCTTCTGGCTACTTGCGTTTCATAGGGGATAGTATTAAAGAAATTTCCAAGGATAAGAGTGAGTACAATACACAATCCCAAAATGACTGGCAGGCTCATGTGCTTGCCACTAGAGCAGCTATAAATGTACCATCAGCCATAAGACTTGTTTAAAAGCAGGAAAGTGCTTGGGCTTGTCTCCAGCAGGAAGGTGGCTTCCCCAGGCCACATGCTACAACTCATTGCATTGCCCTCCCTCTCTTTACCACCCACCCTCTCCCTCTTCCCAGGATTTCTGTAAGTATTTACCCAGGAATTTCCACCATGGTAGGTAAGGATGATGTTTTTCTTCCTTCAGTGCTGGAGGAGAGTTGCTCTGGAAGGACTGGGTTTTCTCACTCCTCCCCTGACGCAGCCACTGGTTTCTGAGACACTCCCTGACATGGTGCATTCCACGAGGACACTGACAGCCTTCTGTGGGGTGCAGGCACAGTGTTACTCCAAGCACTGCCAAGAATTCCCATTTCATTCCCCTGCACTGGGATCTGGGTGGCTCCATCGTGGAGGTGATGAGGTTAAAAAAGATGGGGACGAATGGGAATATTCCTACAGGCTTCGTGGTGGATGCAAAGGGCCCTCGAGGGATTAAAATATGAAGATGGAAACTGTCATCTATTTTTGGAAATGTTTTCCTCTCAGGGACAAACTCCAAGGCTATTAATCAGCATAACAAGAAGAGGAAGAGACTCTCAAAGATCAATTGCTCCTTGCTGGAGAAGCAGTTCAGAATAATTGTATATGTGTTGGGGTTCTTTTTGGTGTAATTGAATGGTACCAAAAGAGTCAAGTATATTTAAGGGATAATCTCTCCTGTGCTGTAGTGAACAAAGCAATAAACGCCTGTTGAGATTGATTAATCACTGAGGAGGTGCCAAGGAGTTTAATCCATCCCAGAAGTCTTTTATGACAAGGATCCTGCAAAGTGGTGGAGATTATTATTATGTAAGAAAACTGAGAGAAAACAAAAAATTCCTTGTCTTTGAAATAAACAAATATTATGTTTCTGCCTCCACCTGCAGGAAACCTCCACCCCAGAGGTTGGGATGAGGATCTGCTGGTAAAACTGCCTGTGGATAGGAAAGGTTCCTGCAGAGTAATTCCTAGAAAGCTGTCTCCTCCCTCATTCCCCCTTACTGTGGAGATAAAGAGGGGGAAAGCATGGAATAAGGTTCTTCTGGTAAAAGAAGAAGCTTCAACAAACAGACCTTTCAGTCTGTACAAAGGAGAAAGACAGTGACTCAAGCACACAGAGGTCTGCACAGTGCTGCTCCATAAAACAAAACATAGAGGTAACCCGAATAAAAACCTAGGAAAAGTCAGAAGAGGGAAGAAACCTGGATGTCCAGAGCTCCCAGCTTTCCCCTCCTATGGAAAGAGGGGTCTAAGTCCATCCCATCATCCTTGGGATGGGAGAATTGCAAGGTTCTGCTGAGAAGCCCTGACACATCTCTGGCATCATTGGATCTATGGGGAATCAGTGGGACGAGGCTGCTGAAGGCTCCAGGCGGATCTTCACCTGGCAGCAACGCTGTGCACACCTTCTGGGATACAAAACCAGCTGGAATTTGACTAGCAACCACATTGGGAGGATTAATGAAGGAGATATGGTCACCAAGGAGATCTGCCTCAGGGTGGTGGGTCAGGGTCACACGGGTGGGATGGGCACAGAGAGAAAAAGTCAAAAGGAACTAGTTCAACCCATTTTGAGCTATACATTCAAATGATAAGCAAAACTTGTGGCCCTGGTTCAGGAAAGCATCAGTCAGCAGGAAAGCCCTTTAGGATGTGTGTGGGTCATCTTTCCTGATTCAGGGTCTAATGTTGCTCAGAAGGGACAAGCAGCTGAGCATTTCCACACTATGTGTAAGCAAAATCCCTTTCCATACAGAGCAGCACACAGTATGTTACTACTTTCTTCTCACTATTATGGTATTTTACTATTTTACGCTCTTTTCTTA